TCTCCATCTCTACCCACCCACCCACCTACCTACCTACCTCCATCTCCATCCACCTACCTACTTACCTACCTACCTATCTACTTTAAAATAATTTATATGGCTCCCAAATATTGTGACTCCAGGAAGCCCGCAATAGATCCAAAGACCAAGATAAGAAGACCAATTTAAGTTAAAATCCAAAACATGAATAGACAACCCAGAACTCACATTCTTTTTGGATTGATAATGTGCCATCAATCCACATGGATTGGCAACCACATGGATAGATTTTCTCCATGAATCGTCCATCGTTTTATATTTTCTACCCCTGTGGTTTTCTTGGTGCAAACACAGGAGTGGTTTACCACTGCCTTCACCTACGTAGTATCAATGGATGCCTTCGTCCTTGTCACTCAAGCGAACATCTGCTTCCAGGACCTTCTTCTCTCGCTGCTGCCCAACAGAGGGGCCTGCTGGCTTTAGCTGGGCAGCTGGGATGACCATCACCCCTTGGGTGACCCTGCTGGGTATATATACTCGTGGCCTACACTCCTGACGTTCTTCCTCGCTCATCCCTCCCAGGAACACCCCCCTCCACCATGAGGCAGCACAGCAGGACTTGGGGGGACTCACATTCTTATTCCTCTCCAGATGGGGAGTGTGCAATGGGCAGAATCACTGGGGAGAAGCAGTCCCACAAATAATACGTCCGCAGGCCAAAATCTGGGAGGGTAGCATGTGGTTTAGACTGAAAGCTCTTAAGAAATAGCTACTGTCAAAGTTTGGGAGGGGGTTGTGACCCCTTGGAAAAATTTTGCAACTGGTGGGACGCTCATTCCTGTCGAAGAGCTGAGTGGTGGGAGTTCAGGGTTTTAAAGTCAACGATGAGATTTGGAAGCCTTTCTTAACCCAGGACCCCCAAATTCATAGGGCTGCAACTTACAAAATTTCTTACTCAGCATGCAGTCCAGAGCAATGTTTCTCAACCTTGGTAGCTCGAAGCTGTCTGGACTTCAACTCCCAGAATTCCCCAGCCAGCAAAGGGAGTTGAAGTCCAGACAGCTTCGAGCTGCCAAGGTTGAGAAACACTGATCTAGAGGGAGACAGGTTGAAGAAGGCCTCCATGATGATTGAAGAAGGCCTCCAAAGAGGAGAAAGATGGTTTGGCTCACAGTTAAGGGGGAAGTTGTTTAATCTGGCATTTTTGGAGGTCTCATTTGCAATCAGCGGAGGAGTGTTCAAAATCAGCAAAGTGGCACAGAGAGCTTCGGGATGTAAGCGGTGTGCCACTTTTGAACATCTGCCATCACCACACTCCATCTATCACCTTGCTGATTTTGACACACGTACACCCACGCCTTCTCATCCTCCAACTTTTGCGCTGAGTTTGCCAAGCTTTTCCAAAAGAAGATCCCCCCTCCGCGGAGTTGCAAAAATAGGGAGACGGCGAGAAACCCAAATTGGCCAATTCAGCTGTTGCCAACGGTGGGTTTGCAAATAATAGCTCGGGTTGGTATCCGTGCTGCTTCTTCCGCCAAAAACACGCGTAGGATAACAACCCTGGGAAAGATACCGGCTTTCGCCCGGCGAATTCAGAACCGGCGAGAAGGAAAGAAGGAAAACAGCTTCCAGAACTGAGAAAAGGGACCGCTTTAATGAGAACGCCTGCAATAAATATGGGAATGTCCTTGAGGAAAGGTCTTGCAGAGACCGCTCAGCCCGCTTCAGCCTTTGGCCTCCTTTTCTTTTCCGTGCTCTGGAGAGCTTTCTCACCCCTCTCAGGACATCCGGGGCCCCCCAAGTGCCCCTGACCTCCGTCTGCCTCAGAGGGAAGGCTGGAGAGACGGTCGCAAAGCCAGCGGCCGCCTGAATCCCACCCCTCTTCTCGCCAGTCTGATTTAGGACTGTAGCACAAACTCCAGGACGGGCCTGCCTCCTCCTCCTTGCCTCCGGGGGCCCGGGGGGCGGCTTGCTTAGCTGGAACCAGGGTGAGCAAAGGTG